AATACCACATCTTTTTCAACCATTCCTCAGGTGATGGGCATCTTGGTTGTTTCCAAGATTTGGCTATCACAAATTGTGCTGCTATAAACATAGGCAGACATATATCCCTATGATATGATGTTTTCAGATCCTCTGGGAAAATTCCCAATAGAGGAATAGCACATGCCCATTCTTGAGGACTTTTTTTTTTTTTTTTTGGCTGACTCAGGCAGCCTTAAGGGTGAGTCTGGTGCAGCATGTGGAGCTGGGGATTGAACCGCCGTCCCCTAAGCCTGAGTCTGCCCAAGCAGGCACTTCAAACAACTAAGTTAACCCACAAGCCCCCAACATGCCTATTCTTGAATCAATTACAGGGGTCAAGAGAATACAATGTTCTGATTATCTAAGTCTAGTTCATATGTCCACTGAAATTCTGGGCTCTAAGGTAGGAGAAAATATAGTTCCCCAAAGAAATTTGGGATCTTGTGCCTAGAAAAAAATATGCTGGTGAACAGAAACAACATGATTCCACTTATTATTATAAGCCGTAACTTATCACCTGCACTTTCTCTGCTTTTCCAAGCCATTGACTGGCCAATGACATCTCAATGACTGAAGTGCGGCACGCATTAGAGTGCTGGGGATTACAGGCATGCACCACCTCACTCAGCTTTTTATTCTTTTTGAGACAAGGTCTTGCTATGCAGCTCAGGCAGGTCTTGAGCTCACTTTGTAGCCCAGACTGGTCTCACAAGGATCCTCCTACCTCAGCCTCCCACTGCTGGGACAACAGGTGTGTGCCACTATCCCCAGCATGTTAATCATTTAAACAGTGTTCAATGCCAGGTGTGGTGGCACACACCTATAATCCTCGCACTTAAGAGGCTAAGGCAGGAGGATCATGAGTTTAAGCCCTACATAGAAGGACTGTACCTCAAAAAAACAAAAGAGTGAGCCCATTTAAAGTTGGTAATCATCCTTCTTCAAAGCCATGGATACCAAGGTAAAAGATAAAAGTAACTAAGAGTGCTGGATGTGGTGATGCATCCCTATGACCCCAGTACTCAGGAAGCTGAGGCAAGAGGATCCTGAGGCAAGAGTTAGAGACTAGCCTGGGCTACACAGTGAGTCAAAGCCAGCCTGAACTACATAGGAAGACCCTGTCTCAAACAAACAAAGGTATTTCCAAAACAGACAGGGACATCATAATCAACAGATTATCAACTACCAGCTTTTATAATGTCCTGTTTCAAGGTACAAGGACAGCACCTAGAGGTCTCCAGGCATTGTCCTATAATTGCTGGAAACAGAGCTTACAAACTGATCACCCCATGATGAGACTGCCCTCCGAAACAGGAGCAATCACCCCACGATGGGAACTGAGGCTGTATGTCTAAGCAGGAACAATCCTCTTGTGATGGAATGGAAATGTACCCTCAAGTGATAACCAGTTCTCCAGGGCCACATCTCAAGATGAGAGTTGAGATAACTACCCCAAGCAGTTGGAAGATATACTGCTGCCCTTTGCCGCAGTTCTTCCCCAGTTTCACCCTACAGCTCAAATCCATACCTTCAAAGGCAGGGGGGCGATGAGGACTCCAACCCCTTTATCTTCTTTCAGACAAGGTCTCACTGTGCAGTTCAGGCTGGCTTTGAACTCACTTTGTAGCCCAGACAGGTCTCAAACTCACAACAGGTCCTCCTGCCTCAGCCTCCTAAGTGCTGGCATTACAGGACTGCGCCACCATGCCCGGCTCTGCCCTTTTATCTTCCCAGTGTGGTTATACTTAATATTCCTTTCTTGCTTCACCAATTCATTTTCCTTGTTTAGGGATCAGAGGCCACATGAAGTTCGGTAGGACCCCTTGAAGTCAGACCTGCCCTGGCCTAGACCTGCAGCAACGTCCTGCTGCCCGCTGTGCCCGCCGAACCAGCCCTGCAGAAACTGCACAATCTACTGCGGGAGAGGTAAAGAAGATGCTTCCCTTCGAGACGGATAGCCCTAGTAATTCCGAATAATGGCGAAAAGGACTCAATAGTAAAGTTAATGAACTTAAAACACGTGAATAAACAAGGTACAGGAGTTGATGGGCGGAGGGTAACGGGAACCACGGCCCGGAGAAGGGATTTGGTTCCAGTAGCGAGACCTCTATCACGGTAGCAAGTCATATTCAAACACTCTCTGTAGGTCAATTATTCTTCCTAATCGCTTTATGAACTATCCTTTTCTCGCAGTCCTTCTACTGCAGCCTTAACTGAAGTCTACCTCACCGCCCGCTCGGCCATTGCTCTCCACGCTCTGCAGCCTGAGCCCGCAGGGCTCTCCCGGCCTCTTCCGCAGCGGGGAACGCACTGAGCTGCCCATCCCTCCAGGGATCTGCTCCTGCCCAGAACACTCTCCACGACACGACCCTCTCCTAGTTTCTTCGTATGCTTCACGCTCAGCTCCGACACAGCCCCTTCCTCTGGGATGCCTGGCAGGCTCATCACCACCTCCGCTCTGCAGACGCATACAGCAAACTACGCACAGCTCCCGCACTACCACGCGCGAGCGCAAGTTACCTGCACCAAGCTCTCCCGCGCGCCTCTCCTCGTTCGAAGGGGCGTGGCTGGGCGGAAGACCGCACCAGCCAATTGGCTCTCCGCGCGCCGCCTCGCCCCGCCCACCGACCCGGAACTGAACGGAAGTGGGCGGGGGCCGCGAGCCGGAGCGCGGTACTCAGGCTTGTCTCCTAAGGCGTGAGGCTGGAGTCAGGAAAGCGGAAGCCCCTTCCCCTACCGACGGCCCAGGCGAAGATTCTGGAGCGTCATGGCCGCGGGCAGTGAGGACAGCTCAGTTTCAGCTCCAGCGGCCTCTGATGGTGAGCAGCTTTTGAGGGGCCGCCCTAAAAGCCTCTGCTCGCCGGGGGAGGCAAAGGCTTCGGGCCCATAGTTGTGGAGACTTTAAGCTGCGAGGACCCTAGGAGCAGCTTCCGCCTGAGCCAGCCACGAAACTACAAAGCCCGGCGTGCACCGCGCTGCGCTGCGGAGCCTGAGTGTTGGGAGCCGTTCGGGCGAATCGGGAAACGCGGTCTGGATGGGACGCACCACTTCGTAGTTGTGTTTCGGCAGAATGTGTCAGGTTGGGCGCTACGATCCAAAGAAGTAGGATATATTGGGAGCTCTGAGACCCATACCCATAAGGGAACCATGAGAACGGTAGTACTGAGGTTTATGGATTGAAATCCTCTAGCTCTGCAAAACATTTTTTCCTGCAAGGCGCAACCTTCAAAAGCCTTGCAAGTAAATTCCCTGTGCCTCAAAGAAAGTTACTGGAAAAGCCTGGCTTCTGCTCTCCAAATGAGGGGGCTGTCTACTCCAAGGCCTGTGTGTAGAGCATTTTAGAGGAAAAACTATTAGTGGAAACTCAGGTTCCCCTACCAAATTGGTGTCTTTTCGTGGGACCTTTACAGAGCATGAACATCTATCACTTTCCTTTATTCCCAGGTGGTGTCAACAAAAGCCCAAAATGTGAGAAAGAGCTAGTAATCCAGGTTCCCGTAGTGGATGTGCAAAGTGACAACTTCAAGGAGATGTGGCCATCCCTCCTTCTGGCCATAAAGACAGCTAGCTTCGTGGCTGTGGACACGGTGAGAGATGGGAACAGGGAGGGGAAGCTGGTTGTAGGGCTGGTGCCTGGGGCCTGTCACAGCCCTCTCTTTACCATCCATAGGAACTAAGCGGACTTGGGGACAGGAAGAGTTTGCTGAACCAGTAAGTACAAGCCTTCTCTTTAGTCCTTCTCCTGGCAGGAGAGACAGACCTCAACTCCTAAGTGAGGGTAGGGAGGACCCAGTTTTGGCTGGTCTTCCAGGAACTAACTCAGCGACAGCCACCCCCAAATACATCATCCTCCAGGTGCATTGAAGAACGTTACAAGGCTGTGTGTCATGCCGCCAGGACCCGTTCTGTGCTCTCTTTAGGGCTTGCCTGTTTCAAGCAGCAGCCAGACAAGGTATTGGCCAGCTCACTGGCATTCTAGGTCTAGCCTGGGGGAAGAAAGAGGGTTGGAATCCTGGGGAATGCTGAGTATGAGTGAGGTTTTTCCTTCAAACTCCTGATAGAGCAAACCCTCTTTCTCTCAGGGTGAACACTCCTACCTGGCCCAGATTTTCAATCTTACTCTGCTGTGCATGGAAGAGTATGTTATAGAACCAAAGTCTGTGCAGTTCCTGGTACAGCATGGCTTCAACTTCAACCAGCAGTATGCCCAGGGCATCCCGTACCATAAGGGCAATGACAAGGTAGGCCTCCAGCTTGCCTAACCTCGAGGCTCTCAGGAATGTGACTCCATTTCTTCTTGCTCTAGGAGCTGTGTGGCAAGGGAGAATCTGCTTCTTGGTATGAGGAACACTTGTGATGGGGCTGGGGAAATAAGAGTGATGCAAATGTGGGTAGTAGCAGGTTAGGTAATGAGGGACAGCTTCTCAGGTGGGGGTGCCTGGGACAAGTGTCCTGCAGAAGATGCTAAGGAACTGTTCTTCCCATTGACTAGGGTGACGAGAGTCAGAGCCAGTCAGTGCGGACACTATTCCTGGAGCTGATCCGGGCCCGCCGGCCTCTGGTGCTACATAATGGCCTTATAGACTTGGTGTTCCTGTACCAGAACTTCTATGCACACTTGCCTGAGAGTTTGGGAACCTTCACTGCAGACCTGTGTGAGATGTTCCCTGCAGGCATTTATGACACAAAATATGCTGCTGAGTTTCATGCTCGCTTCATGGCCTCCTACTTAGAATATGCCTTCCGGAAATGGTGAGAGAATGGGGTGGGGTCTGGTATGAGCCTATTGCATTGACCTAAGATATTTATTGAACACCTACCATGTGCCAGGCACTGTTTTAGGTGCTGAGGATTCAGGCAAAAAAAGCCTCCTGTTCTCAGGGAGCTTATGTGTTAGTGCCCTCTTGCTCTGTTGCAGTGAGCGGGAAAATGGGAAGCAGCGGGCAGCTGGTAGCCCACACCTTGCCCTGGAGTTCTGCAGCTATCCTCCTAGCATGAGGACCCATATCGACTACCGCTGCTGCATGCCCCCTGCCACCCACCGTCCTCATCCCAACAGTGTCTGTGACAACTTCTCAGTAAGTAAGAGTGCTCAACCATTTCTTGAGGAAGGGACAGTTCTAGCATGGAGAACCTTTTCTAATCCTTTTTCCTACTCTAGGCCTATGGCTGGTGCCCCTTGGGACCACAGTGTCCTCGGTCCCATGATATTGACCTTATCATTGACACTGATGAGGCTGTGCTGGAGGACAAACGGCGAAGACGGCGGCGTAAGGAAAGGAGGAAGAGGGCTTTGTTGAGCACACCTGGGACACAGACTTCCAGGGAAGCTGAGGACTGTCCCCCCATCAAGCAGGTCTGTGCAGACACCCTCAAGACTGAAGAAACTGAACAAAAAATGATTGAGGGTGAAACAGAGGCACATCCTGGCTCTCAGCAGGATCACCAAAATGACTTGGAGACGAATCTTCAGCCACTAAAGCCTGAAACAGCTGACCTGGCTCCTGCAGAACAGCCAGGGAGTCAGGCCAGTCCTGTTCGAGTGTCTGGGGACGGTCTGCACCGGGCTGGCTTTGACGCCTTTATGACAGGTTATGTGATGGCCTATGTGGGAGTGAGCCAGGGCCCCCAGCCCTGCAGCTCTGGACTCTGGCTACCAGAATGTCACAACAAGGTCTATCTGAGTGGCAAATCTGTACCACTCACAGTGGCCAAGAGCCAGTTCTCCCGATCCTCCAAAGCTCACAACCAGAAGATGAAGCTGGCTTGGTGCAGCAGCTGACCCAACTTCAGCTTATCACTCAGCCCTGGAAGGAAAGCTGAAAGAGCAGATTTGTTCATATCTCAAGCCTGTGAATGTTACCTCAACTACTAGAGTTGGGTGGGGAGTTCTGGCTGTGTTCCCCTGGTCGTTCTTTAACCCAGAGGTGGTTGTACAGGGGAACAAGAAGGCTGACCAGCACCTGCAACAAACTTTATTTTTTTTAAATCTGAAAGTGTCTTGGGAAAGTTTTACAAAAAAAACAGAAGTGAGTTATGAAAATATCTGACCATCTTCATTCTTTGGTTGTTTCTTATTGCAGCTCTGTAAGGACAGACTGTTCCCAAAGCTCCAACTATAGCAGGAAGGGGGAAAAAACAGTCCAGGTATAAACCATTTAATCACCAGCATGTATTTGTTCACAAATACATAGAGCAGGCCCCAAGGCCTACAAAACTAGCCCCACTCCCAACCACAAGGTTGAAAGTTTTATGAGGCAGAACAATAAGACTCCTTTATAAATATGAAAATAGATTAAATCACCTGAAAAAGGTCTTTGAATATGTTATCTAAGAGCCATGACCACCACACTGCCTTGCCCTCCCCTTGCATAGAAATGTGACGTGGTCTGACCATGGAGTAAGTGCAAACAGCAGTTATTCAAGTGTCTTAGACATACTGGCAAGAAGCACCCCAGTCTTCAGGTCTGAGAAACAGTCATGCTTTTATGGCCTGGTCAGCTCCACGTTACATCTAGTAGCTTCTATGTCCCAAGAGAGATCTAGTTTGGGAGAAGAGCTGGGGTAACAAGCCTGCCAGCTCAGCCTAGAATGAGGAGTCCTGGTCCTGTCTGGGGAAATACACTGGCATCAGGTAGGGACCAGAGCTCCTTGCTGGATTTCAGGGGCTTAGTATTAGCAGTTGGCCCTAACTAGGAAGGCTTTTTGTTGCTGCCTCACTTTTCATACGCAGCCATTGGGCACTGGAAGCCCAAAAGTTAAGTGTGACTTGGCTTAGCCTGCACTGTGGGCTCCAAGGAAGAGTTAAGGCTGTACACCAGGGGAGCTCTGTGGCTTCAGGTGAAGGTTCATTCCCAAGACAAGGCAGGGACTAACCTCTCAGCCATCTTGCCCTCCCCAAGTTTGCAGGCTTACACCTGAGACAGAGCAAGCGCCTACTGGCCTTTCTTCCACTTCCATTGCCTCAGAGACACCTCCATAACATGAGCTGGGCCCCAAACCGTTTTCCTCCTGGGGACAGCAGCAGTCCATGGCCTCATGTGCTGCACTTGCTGGCAAGGCAGATCCTTGGAATGGCGGGATCTCTCTTACTCTGTACTTGAGACTGCTGAGGCGTGGAGGCCCCTCCGACAGTGATTCTTCACAACTCACAAATGGACAGATTTTATGACGTAACTCGGGTGAACCAGGCAAAGAACGCCATCGGCGAACAGGTGGGGCTGGGGACTCCTGCCAGCCAGCCACAGGCACAGTTCCAGGCCCTGGTGCATTCAGGTCAAATACCAGGGAGATGACAGACTTACTGGGGAGGTCAAACAGCTTTATCTTGCCACCCTTGAGGTCCTGCCGGGCACTAAAAGGGTTGACTTTGCGGGTGCGGGTAGCACCATCTTGTGGCCGGTAGTAAGGGTCCAAGACGCTTACTGTGTGGGGGGCCTTAGGAGAGAAGATGTCTGACTGGCTTCGAGACAGCCAGATAGTGCGTCTTGGACGCGGTGACTTGTGGGGAATCTTGTCATCCAGTGAGCTCAGTCTCTTCCCACCAGGTACTTTCTCCAAGAGACCTGGAGGACAGTGAGTTGAGTCTAGGTTACTCTTACTGGTTACAAAGAAGCAGCACTTTATCAGTGCTTCCACTTGAGGAAACAAAGTAGATGATCTTGTCCCATTTTTATCATTGAGGACAGCCTCAGAGGAAGTAACAGATCAAATCGTAACTCAAATTCTAGTAGCTTTCTAGCCCATGACCTGCCCTTCCTTGCTTCTGGACCTGCTATCTTGCAGTCACCCGCTTAGAGGATAATAATGCCTCAGAGCCATCAGTTTGCCTTGTTTGTTTGTTTTGAGACAGGGTCTCACTATGCAGTTTGGGCTGGCCTTGTGCTCACTATTGTTTGTAGCTTCCTGGCTGAACCTCTCAAGTGCTGGATTACAGGCATGCGTTACCATGGGGCAAGACTGCATGGCCTATGGGACAAGGGATCAAACTTGGGTCCTTGTGCTTGCCGGGTAGGTGCTAATGCCACTGAGCTATCTCTCTGCCCTCCCCCCTCCTTTTTTTTTTTTTTT